AAACCACCCCCTTAAAAAGGGGGTGGGGGGGGGGGGGGGGGGGGGGGAGGAGCTAGCCCTTCCCGCCTTCCAGGATATTTTTCCAAACGTGCAGCTAGCTTCTATAGTAGCTCTGCTTGGCAAGCTTGGTAGGCCAAAAGAACCACTCGTGGATGACATCGTGGATGGCACCTACCAAGCTCGTTTTGTAAGCTCTCTCGCTTGTTGTGGATGTGTTTTCTTTAGGCACAGCACCCCCCCCGGTACTAATAGGCGCTGCTCTTGCATGCATGCGAGCGTGCGACGGACGGTGGTGGTGGGGATAAAAAAATTGATGATTGTTGTTCCTTACATGGGGTATTGTTGTTAGCTTGAATCATCAGAAGTGTCTCGGTTTCCCCGTGAAGCAGGAGATCATCCATCGTTATCAGGGGTTGCACAAAATACATGTTTGGTGTTTCACCGGTTGGGCCAGTTTCGGCCGTAGGCGCGCGCGTGCTGTATCCGTTGTGGTCCGTTGTGGCCCGTTGTGGCACTGCACCGCTTGGGTAGGATGGATATCAGCGGTCTAACTAGAGTTTGGCCTCGCTCCTAGAGTAGCTAGAAAATCCGTGTTGGTTGTCCCCTTGTTTTCTAATGTTGTCGGATTTCGATGTTGGTGTTCGTTTGGGCTCTGCTGCTGCTTGTGTTGTGCGCGTGGTTTGTCTCGTATGTGTGTTTTGTTCTGTGTTTTGTGGTGGCTCTCGTGATAATGCACATACATACAATAGGCCCTTTCTTTTTTGTATAGGGCACAGTAGTAGTATGCATACATACGTGCTCCCGCGACCCAGCTGGCCACCTGCCGCTTGCTGCCTGTGGCCTGTGGCTTCTCTCAAGAATGTCTGCTCCGATTTTTTCGTTTTGTGTATGAAGGTGCGTGTGTTGGTAGAGCAGGCAACGTTTACTTACAGGCTATGACATGACAAAAAAACCTTTGATGGCCTTACGCGAAAAGATGGTGCAGTGGTATGCATATATATGATGGCCTACCAAGGGCAGGAGGGCGAAAAAAAACTTTCATTAGGGAAAATGGGTTCGCAAGGTTTATTTTTTTATTTCGTTACAGGAGAGAACAAAGGCTTTTGTTGCCTCCTTTTGGGGAGACGCTGCGACTGCGGTACAGTAACAGCAGCAGCTAGAGCCGCGCGAACCTATTTTATTAGATCATGTCTTTCTTGTGTAGCAAAGTGTTGTGCGTGTTGAGGTAGGAAGAATGATTCATGACGGACGAGTGCAATGGGTGAATGGGTGTCAATTGGACGTGGTTTTTCGAAGAGAAGGGGGGGGGGTAGCAGAGTAGTATCCCGTACGTATGGGTCACCAGAAGGGCGTGCCGGACCATAGCCGCCAATGTTGTTGCGCCTGTATCGCTTCCGACTTGGGAAGCCGGCTTGTCGGATTCAGCGCTGTCTGTGTGGTTGGGTGCGTATATACCCTTTCCGACATTCTTCCTTGGCGTGATGATTTCAGTTGCGCGTGGCACTGATGACATCCTTGTAGCTTGTCTTAGTCTTGATCTCAGTGTACTAGCGGTGTTGCAGCATGCAGCAGAGGGTAGAAGGGGCCCGCTGAGTTGCTGGCGGGGCGGGCTGCCGCAGTTGCTTCTGCTGCTTGCCGCCGACATGTCCATGTTTTTCCTCCTCTGTTGTGAGTTTGATTGAGTACATGCGAATGTCGGTCTCCACCGCCCGCCGCTGCGGTCACCGGCAGAAGTAAGCGCCTCTGGTCACACGCTGCTGCTGGGTTTAGGTTTGGACGAAAGAAACCCTGTGGGTACATTCGATGCAATCCATTCTGTACGATCTTTGTGCCCCTGCTAGCCCGGCAACCACCGGCTTTATCATCGGGGGCGGAGTGGTGTAGCGGGCGTCTTGATTCTCTTGTTGCTGTTTTGAGTTTTAAAGGAGGGGGGTTTGGGTACTTTAGCTGAAACTAGGCACGAGATTGACGGATCGATGGGAAGGAAGGAAAAACGAAAATTATGATCCTTTTGTTTGTTGTCGGCGTTTCGAACATCGATTCGCGTTGGGGCATTACGATTTAGGTTTGCTCTAGGTACGATCCTTTTTTTTTTTTTTTTACTTTTTCCTCCCTCGTTCCGAAAAGAAAATGTGTGTGGTGTACTTTCGGTGTTGTCTGTCGCGCCCCCGCCGCGGTATGCAGTATATGAGTTGGGCGACGTTCTGCCTGACAGAACAAGCGAGGCAGACTCGCGTTGACCCGCCGTACGATGCTTCGGGTGGGCGGATCTCGTGGCGAGAGTTTTTTCGTTAGGCATTCTTTGTTTCCGAGGCGGTGGGCATTCCCCGCATGCCCCCAGTTCCGGTCGTAGGACAAGCAAAAAGCGGATAGTTGTTGGCCCCGTTACCCAAAAAAAAAACAGTCTTTTTTGAAGCTCCGGGCTCTTTGGGGCTAGGCGAGAATCCCTTTTGTGTGGAAAGAAGAGGGCCGGGCGAAAAAGTTCGGAGCTGTAGGATAGATTTGTGAGCACATTATATTTTAGCAGGTGGTTGTCGGTTGTCTCTGTGTGCGTGGTGCGCGTGTGTGTTGTGTGTGTGTGTGTGTGTGCTTCTTTCATTTTGTATGGACCGCGCTAGCCGGCTGCTGCTGACCGATGAGAAGAAGTCAGCAGCCATGTGTGTGGTGTGGCGGGACATAAGAACGCGCTCTAGCACGTGTGAGTGTTCGTCGCTTGTGGAGGAAAAAGAGTCACTATGATGCGCGTTTTGGAGGACACGGGTACGGAGTAGGTAGATCAACGAGAGGGTGGGGACGGGGGGCAGAGTTCTCATTGGCGTGCCCCCCCCCCTCCCCGCCGGCCTTCTCGACAAGAGTAGGTTTATCTATAGGCAAAGGTGTGTAGTTATTGTAAACGTCATTGTCGGAGTATGCTATGGTTTGGCAAAATGGGGCGTTTTTCGCTTGCGCTCGAGAGGTTCTGCGATATTTAACTTTTATTTCTTGCGATCTGGTACGTGTTGGGGTGGGCACAGTATATATCCCGAAACCACGGCGTCGGGTTTCACCCGCGGGAACAGTGGTTTCAAAGGACAACTGAAAAAGAAATGAATGAATCTGAAACGAAAATTTGGCGGCTTTGGGCCGCTGTTGTATACCGTCTCCCACGGCTGGGAGTACACACACACCGCGTGCACACCCTGTGCTGTCTGTCAAGTGCACCGCAGCTTGCTTTGATGGTGGTCGATCGCGGTCCTGCGCGGAGTGTGTGTCTTTGTCGCTTGGCCGACGACGATGACGACCGGGAGAGTGTGCCGCTCTCACTTGTCCTTCGCCGGCGACTATTTCCCTTGGATGTCTTCGACAAATCATCTCCACGGCGAAAGAAGAAATAATGGACGATTTCTTCCAAAAGCACGCAAGGATCTATCTCGGTTTGGTGCCTGCTGTCTGTGCAACCTTGCTTGGTGCTGTCTCGGGAGAATGTTGTGAATATCGGGAAGACACCAGTGGATGGCCCGCGATTCCCCACACCCACCACAGATGAAACATGCCGCTTGCAAACCACTTACCATTTAGAATACGAACAACGTCTTCGCCTTCTTACCGCTCAAAAATAATGTTGTACCGGGGCCAATGCCGGGGCCAGGAAATAAAGTAAAACACGAGATGATATGCATACCAAACCTCATACACATGCATACATATGCTGGTTACATATGGTGGTGTTTTTTAGACAAGTCGAAGAGGAACACCACGGTGTGTGGAACAGAACGGGCCGCGAGAGAAGAAACGAAAAAATCGGGTCGGGGCTCAATTTCTTACTCTTTGTTGCCTCTACTGTCGAGCACAGGTTGTTATTATATGGAGTTTAGTGTAGGATCCACCTTCTTCTCTGACTTACGTTCCTTAAAACCTGTTTTTTTGTTTTTTCGCGAAAAGTTGAGCCTCAGTTTTAACCAAATACCAACAGGTTAACTGCAGGCCTGTTTGTGTATTCATTGCCACAACGAGGGATTGCTGCTCCGAACTCAGGAACGCATTCGGTATGTAGACTATGTCTTTCGCAGTGTGATCACGCCCGTGAATGGGCGTGGCGGAGTACACGCGCCACCCCCCCCATTATTTTGGTGGGTTGCGTGTCCCTCTCAAACAGCCGGCAGCAACAAAAGCGGCCCCTGGAAACCTCTTGTCAAATATGCATGCGCGAAATACAAATATGGCTCATCTTTGCATAATAGGGCAATGTACTAACTCTCCTCGTCTGTCTGTCTCGTTCAAGGTAGCGACCCCTGTTCCACACCAGCAAACAAACGCAGGATGGACTATCTATGCCCCGCCGGCACACTCACTCTCGTTTTCTTCATCCCGGGAGGCCACCCGTCCACTAGCTTTTTCTCCCAATGCTTCTGCCTTCTACTTTCGAATTTGCAACAAACTACGTACAAGACGATGACCGGAACCTCCCTCCCCACACCCGAAATACGAGAAGGGCAAAAGGAATTGCAGCCGGGGGGGTTGAGCTCTGGAAGAAGCAGAACACTCCTTTTTTACACTACATTTCATGTCGCCACCGCCCCCCCAACCTCGACCCTTTCTACATGGAAAGGACAGAATTCCACCCCGGGATGCAAGTGCAGAAGTGGGAGAGGCGCCTCCTCCCCCCGCTCGGGGATATACTTCGCCCTAAAATAGTCTAATGCTGCCCTTGGGCCACCGACGCCCATAGCGTCTCGTCTTTCCCGCTAATGTATGTTCTCTCCCTGGGTTGCAAGGCATAATTAACACCGCTTCACCAACTCGACCTGGTTTGGCCCAAATCCCAAAGCGCTAGTGCCGCATGAACAACAGAGTAATCGCCGTAGGAACACGACTGCATGGACGCAACATAACAGGACAGACCCACGGTGGAAAACGTAAACAGTCGTGAGAAAGACAACGTCTAGCACGGCTAGCACCGCCTCGTAAACTGCTTCACGATAGCAGCGCCTGACGTCTATTGTCATCGGTCTCCACGACCAGACCCGGTGGGCAAGGTCGACAGCCCGCCGTGTACCGCCTCCGCACTATCGAGAAACCCCTTAGTGTACATTTCGAAACAAGAGAGCACGCGCCAGAAAGCACAGGAGATGAACAAGGAAAATGAAAGCAGGCGGGAAAACATGGGGCGTGGTAGTTCAGCATAGAGACGTGCGCTACATCAGGATGATACAGCACACCCAACATGATTGTTGTGAAGCTGGCACGGATGCTCAAGCGGGTGGAAACACAACGAGGCGAATGTTGCAGTTATTTGGCTCCGACAAATTCATAAATTCTGAACACACTTACACGCGGAGAGAAGACATCGCCAATCCTGGAGAGAAACACCGGGGCGTTTGAAGTACGCGACAAAGGCAAGTCGTCGTCGTCGACGAATTTCGAGTAGAGCGAACGTGTAACGAACGGGCTCCTATGCAGTGCGAGCATGTGTAGACGCCCTTCCAAAAACACGCTATAAAGCAGCTCAGGCAGACAAGGAACACACATAGCAGCCCCATGACTGCTGTACATGGCCTACGAACTCGATGTTCAACGTATGAAGAACCAACACTAGCCATGTGTTGCTGCTGGTGGCGCCCTGCCGGCATAAGCAACCTTGTCGGAAACTCCCACGCCGACTTTGCTTACTTTCGTCCCTCGCCCACATGGTGATTCCCCGCACTCCTCTACCCGGAGGGCCTCAGCAACCGTTCCGTATCACCCTTGCAACAATCGACATCAAAAGATCTCGAAACTTTCACCAAAACGCTTCCAGAAATCACCCCCCGCATATCCTTCGGTTGTCATTAGAGTTACTTAAAACTCGATTCATGGACCGGCGGGACTTTTTTGGGCCTTTGGCTGCTCTGTACATCTTTGGTGAAAAACTCTCGTGATATACAACTCGAGAATAGATTTTCACAGGATAAAACCACAGGACTGTTAGCCTGCGCCAATACATCCTCGGACAGCTGGTGTTTGGGCAGGTGGGCTGCCGTTGTGGTGCAGCCAAATTTGATCAACCGGAAACAAGCAGCAAGCGAAATCAGGGTGCCTTTTTTCAAGGTGATACGCACATGCACACCCTTAGAACGAATAGCGGTCAAGGCGCGTTCGTCTGCCAAGAGCGCCCCCAACCCACGCTAGCTGATACTCTGAATGTTGGCACTCGGGCACGTTGATGATAACAAACCGTTGGTCCTTCTTCTCTTTTTTTTGTGCCAAAGAGAAAGCGAGAAAGAGAGGTTAGAAAAGACAGGCATATACGCACACCATGTGCATCAACGGCAACAACAACCTCCAGCCTCCCCGCCGTGTCGACTAGGAAGGGCCGCCCTCCCCCCCCAAAAAATAACGGGGGCAGCCCATAAGCTACGTGGCAAGCCTTGTGGAACTGTGTCTGTTCGTTCATTCGTCTGTGCTTGCGTGCAATGGCGGCACCAGAGAAAAAGCGAGGAAGAAAAAGGAGCACGACGAGAGAGGAGGGCAGAGGGAAAAAGAGAGAGTGCAGCAGCATCCAGCAACCTCACGTACGCGTTGATATGCATGCAGCACAACAAAAATCGTCCGGGCAGTGCCGAAAGCTTGGTTGGGGGCTGGCGGTGGTGGCGGCGTTGTTATGACTGCGTCGCGTGTCTTTGCTGTTGTGATGGCGGTGATGTTTGCTGCAAGCGAGGAGAGAGGAGAGGGAGAGAGGGAGATGAGGAGAGAGTCTGTTTGTCTCGGAACACAAATATATACTTGAGGCTCTGGAGCCCCAAACATATTTTTGCTCACGATTCATGCATTTTGCCCAAAAGTCCCCTCCGATATAAAACTCGATTCATCCACTTTTCGGGCTCTTCCACTGGTTTCATGCATTTTTTCGAGTTTTAAATAACTCTATTCACGCCAACATGCAAATACCTGAAGGATGACCATCGCTGCCGTTTCGTCCTCCCGCTCCGCTATCTTGCGGCCTGCACGTACGTTTAGCGGCGCAGCAGACAATAAATAAACGGCGGGGGTGGGGGCGGGGTAGGGTCAGGGGCCCTTGACCTTACGGTAACCTGTGCGCTACTGCTGTCTGGGACAATGGAGCAGAGCAATAAAGAGCTTTGCGGGAGGCCCCGCGGTAGCAGGGGGGGCGGGGGGGGCTCTGAGACCGGCTTCACGCAAACCATCATGGTACACAGCGTTGGTAGCCGAAACACTTGCCTAAACCGTCGTCCTTGAGGATGCCTCGGGCCTCCACTGACGTCATGCGCTCGTCGAACAACGTTACCGGGATATCCACCTGTACCGTACCGTAAAAGCATGGAAGGCACAGGCTTGTCTCTCTCGATTGGTTCGCGGGAAACAACGCTTGGAAAAAGCGACCTCTGTAGTACGTGGATGATTCGGATGCGCCCTCCCGAGTGTGGTTTCACCGTCGTGAGGCAGTCGCGTGACGAAAACGTGCAACGAGGCGCGCGGAAACTACGGCTGCGGCGAACGACGTGACGGAAAGTACAAATCGTCACCTAAATAGCAGACTTGGGGGGAACGGCTAGTCAACATGGGTATTCCATTTGCAAGGACGGGGCGCTGATTTCCTTTCGGTTCTCTGCTGGAATATATTATGGTCTTCTGCAACGACTGCTTCGGTCACCTTCCCCCTCAGGTGCAGCTGCCGCAGAAACTGAAGCACCATCAGGCATTGTCCCTCAGCACGGCCGGACTTCGACAACGGCCAGCCCACCACCTACGCGAAACGAACATGACAAAAAAAACGTAGCGACGACTCAGGAATCGCATCCCTGAAGCACAGCAAGGCTAGGGAGCGACGACGATGGTGTCTCCTGGGAAACCATTCGACAATTCATGGCCGCGCTATGTACGCATACAATTTCGTCCCCGACACAGGAGTACCTGGCATCAAAATGAAGCCCAAGTGAGATCAGGAGGGATCTACAGCTGCTGCGGGCGAGAAGAGTTGGCGGCACACATGACGGGGGGAAATCTGGGCTGCACATGCATGCCCTTGGCGCACTTTCTGTACGAGGCACTCAACTCACCAATCCGCAAGCAGAGCAATCCTCAACAATTTCCCGTAGCTTGCCGATCACCAAGGCCGGGTCCACTAGTGTCGAGAGCGGTAAGTACGTGAGCATTGGTCGCGCGAAGAGCGGGAAGGGGTGCCGAGGCGGTGATGACATGCGAGGCAGCGCGCGCGTGCGCAAAGCCTTCAAACACAAGTAGTAGGGACTCGTATGATACGTGCACCAACAAGAGAGACCACGAGTCCCCGCTGGCACACTACTGGCACACTATTGTAACCGCTGCTGCCTGTCATCCCGGCACGAACGAAAAACGGATGACTCCACATTGTAAAAAATACTTATTTTTCTTACTTACATTTTTTTGTTGACTGTCTTCGTGGCACCCTTGTGAGCGGAAACGCGAGTGTTTTCGTCTCGTCCGAGACAGCCACCCCAAAGCTTTCCAACGACAAGCAGCACGCATGCCGACGCAAGCAACGAACAGACAGGTAGGTGCGGGATACGCAGGTTGGTTGAACGATTCGCTCGCGAACTCGTCGAATCAGATGGCCAGCTTGGTGGAGGTGTCCGGTGTCGGAAGTGGACACGTATGAATCGTGCCAGTGCGGTAGCCAACCAGGAGGCACCCCTTGTGCCATTTAGAGCCGCGCGCAACCAGTTATAGCTGCCGGTGGCAACAGGTAACAACTTAGATCGAACAAGGCTGGCCTTCCGTTGCATGTGCAGCAGAGCGGTGGTGGCGCTTGGTGATTGGCAGCGTAATCTTGCTACTCTGTAGAGCCTCAATGGTGACAATGCCCGTGCGTTTACATGTGCTGCGGGTGTCGGGGCCAACGTTGGCCAGATCCGGGAGAACCGGCGGAGAAGGTTTGCTGTGTCCGTACTCAGAAGGCGTTAGTGCGTGGTTTGGAAGTTGTAGCCCAGCCACTTTTGGAGCCACTCTACTGCGGTCACACCTCCGTTGACCAACTCGCGACACATAGAACGTAGACACAACACCTGGTTCGCCTTTTTCAGCACAGTACACTCTCTTCTCTCGCATACATACACAGAGACACGCAAGTAACGAGTAACACACGCATATGCCGCCGCTCACTTGCTGGGTGCAACGTCCAATCCAACCAGCGGCGATCCTCTGTTCCCCGGCAGGCCGCACAGCTTCACCATTCCCGCTGCAGTGAGAATCGTTGGCAAGTCATCCTTCCCAGGGACAGGGTTTCTTGGATGACGGTGGCGGGAGTAGCCTCGCGGGGGTGCTCCTGCCGCTCCTCCGGTTGTCGTCAGTCTTCGAGCAGGGGCGGCAGAAGGCCGATGCGGCGCAATTAGAAGAGACTGTCGGCTCCACCTCCCAGCTGGTCTCCCGCTACTGCATGGCGAGACCACCGCTTGCAGGCATCTAACGCTCCGCATGCGTGGCGGCATAAGAGGTTTCGCAGTACTCGGCGTACCGGCGTGTGGTGGGTGGTATCGTCGTGGACCCGTGGTAGAAGGTCCTTGTCAAAGACTATGACTATAATAACACTTTGGTCCTGGTTGCATGACCAGCAGGGGGTGACGCGGATTGCGTTGTGATTGGCGAGCGTATGGCGGTCGTCGCCACTTGAACATTTGACCCACAAGCAGACCACGCGAAGCGTGCACAGAACAAGAGAGCGTGTGACACAGCAGTAAAGCAGCAAAGTCACAAAGCTATGGACGCCAGCAATGCCCCGCTGCTAGACGAGCGCCGCAGAGATGCCCCCACACTGCTGCCCGCCCTGCAGAATCTTCTGCAACTCGCGCACGCCGGAGACACCGATGACCAAGCCCAGGTCAGAGAGGCAGTGCTGCGGTTTCTTCACCCGAGTATCATTTAAGCAGTTCTTCACCCGAGGTAGTACACCAGCTGTGGTGGTAGATTGAGCTTGCCCTCTCGCCTGAGAGCACTTTCGTAGTTCAACGAGGTATGCATACACCGCGACCTGCCGATGCGGGCGATACATCGTTGGTAAGGCATGCATGGGCCCCCAAGAGACGAGCTGCGTGGCAAGAGGACTGCTGTCATATCTTGGATTCTTGGTGCGTAGAATTTTCCTGGATTTTTTTGTGGCACCACAAGAGAATGTTCCGCACGCTCAACAGCAGACCTCAACGCTCTGGAGGCCCAAATAAATGTTGACACTTTGGGGACATAACACTCAAATGCCTGTTTCGCACTGTAGTTACCCTAGGCTCCGCTGTGTGCAACGAACGCGAAAACCCTTGGTGGCTCATGTCGTACGCTGTGTGATATGCTGTGTGATGCCTCTCCTGGCCCTCTGACTTGCTGGCTGTACACCATCTCCCAACCCGCGTGCCCCCTAGGTCGTAAAACTGCTGTACATCGCCTGGTACGTACTGGAAAAATTCGCTGACTTGGCTTCAGTATCAAGAGTGTCCCCACGTGTTTTGGGGACGCTTTTCATACTGAAGCCAAGTCACCCTTTGTGTGGCAAGACCTCAGGACTGCTGTAGCCCCTCGACCATCGGCTGACAAACAAATTTGCGACTTTTGCTTTTTGCGGAGGGACTGGGTACTGCTGTGGGAGGGTTAATAACCACTTGGCCAACGTCGAAACTGGTGGGAATTCGTTGTCTTCATCTCGAAACACGATGATACTACTGCAGTACCTTCCTTACCCTGGGGTCGGCCCAGCAACACTAACTAGTTATCACTGTTTTGCTAATAATAGTCTTGATCGCAGCAGCAGTGAACGTAGTAAGTTCTCCATTTCATGGGCGGACCTGTGCTGAACTACAAACACCAATTTTTGCCGACAGATGCAGGTTGGTGCTTCTTTACTTCGCTTCTGTATCATCGCCTTTACATGCACATGCAACCCAGCGTCCACACCAGACCAGCTGAATCGCACACTGCTATTCACACACTGAGCACACACGACGGGCACAAGATGTGGAGGATCTCCTGCACCTCATCAAGATATCGTAGCACAGCGTCTGTCTGTCGACGCCAAATAACCATGGTAACGGCACCATCATACGGCCTCCTCCAAATACGTGGACCCTTCTTCTATGTTGGTGTCGCGGAGGTTGGCAAGAGGAGGGCTCTGCAACGCCCCCCTTGTAGAAAATAGTGATGCTGTTGTTGAGGCCATCCCGTGAACCTGTGCTGCGGTGAGCAAATCATAACACCTCGCTAACTCTGGTCTTTTGTGCTCTGTGTGTTGTGCGAAAATGTTCAACGTACACCTACATGCATACATAGCACACACATGTTCCACGTCAGCCAGCGTCTTCGGCATTGTTCCCGCCCACCCCTCTCCTCGCAAACAGGCGGCGATGGGAATCTCTACAATGGTGAAGCGCGTCCGGATAGAGCCCTCTTCCTTCGGTCCACTCTGCCACACCCTCTCCAGGCTTGTGGCCAGCGAGCACCAGGCGGTTGTGGCCTACGCGGCGCGGAGCATCAAGATATTGGTGTTGGACGATGCCTTGCGCCCGCAGGCAGCAGCGGCTGGGATACCCAGCGTCCTGGCGACGGCCTTGAAAGTGCGAGAGGGCGACACGGCGTGCCTGAGGGAGATCTTGGGGTGAGAAAATGAAGAGTAGGGTGTCTTGATTCTGGAGGAACGACCGTGCTGCCTGTCAGATATAGTTGCGATTGAAGGGAATTTGTCGGCCAGGCCTCCAGCTCTTGCTGGGTGCATCTGTGTCTACACCACACATATCCTGGCTTGTGAATCCTCATGAAAAGTAAGAGGCTGTAAGCGGCGGGTCAGCTAGCGGTAGCGGAGCTACCGTTGTTTTCTAAACTACCGGTATGTGTACAGCAGTGCCTCTCGAGGGATGTTTTTTCGTTCACTCACATCCTGACTCCCTCCCCCCGCCCCGCCGTGCCTACCCAGAGCTCTCCAAACCCTTTGCTACGACAAGGAGACGGTGCTTTCTGTGATCACGACCGGAGCGCTGGGTGAGAACGGGCCCGCAGTTGCCGATGCGAGGGTTGCACGTGTACCTCTTATTCTCCATGGAGCGGACTAACGGTCTATACTCGTTCCTTAGTCGGGACATTCACCCTTGACGTTCAGACTAAACGAAAGTTGTTGGCCGTGCGTGCTGCGGATTGTTTTTTGCGAAAAAAGTCCGTTGTTGTCGAATGTGGTGAACAACTAGATCGTCGAGTGGGTACAGTTGCCACCCGTCACGTCCATGACAAGCGGTGAGCCCGAGGCATGTTTTTTTTCTGTCCGGGGCGGGTGGGTACGGCAATCCATCGTGACTTGTTCAACCCGTGGGCCGTGCAGGGTCGGTGCTGGAGTTGTTGAGCACGGGCAACCTGGAGCTGAAGATCCTGTCGATGGCAATAGCTGCCAACGTGCTATCCTTCTCGGACAGCCTTCTGATGACGCACGAGGAGTGCATCGACGCCTTCCGTGACCGAATGGAGGCGTTACTCGACCCTGTCAAGAGGTGGGATGCGACGAATGTTTTTTTCAGAATTGTCGGTGATGCCGGTGACAACCAACGAATGTTTTTTGGCGACGCTCGGTCACGGTGCGGAGCTGGGAAAATAGGTCCGTTTTCAGTGTTCCGACATGGAGGTATCTTGGATCGGCTTGTACCAGCAGCTCGAAGTACCTGAAGATGAGTATGGCAATACCGAGACGGTTTGGCCGGCTTACTCTCATAGTTCCAATCGCTCTGCTCCAACGCCAAAGAACCCACAGCGTACAAAACCCGAGATCGCATCATGTCTGGATGCACTGCCCGTGTTTGACGGACCGCAAGAAACGCCACCAACCTCCTCGTGTCTGAAGCTCGTACTCCCCCCCGACCGCCAACTCCCGTGCCTCTGTGTCGCCGTCACGAAATATCCCGATGCCCGATGCATACATTCAAATTGGCGACATACAAGTCGCCGCTTCAATGATATGGAAAGAGACTTAGCGTTGGCGGCGTTGGCCAACGCCTGCGGCCACCGAGTGCTCGCCGAGCGGGCAAAGGATCTCGGGGCTATAGAGCTGCTGAGGAGAGTCCTCAAGAAAAGTAGGAGCAGGTTTTTAGATGTAGCCCGGACAAACGTTGTGAGTGCCTCTTTGACGCGACTCGAAAGACATGGCTTTATATCGGGGGGGGACGTTGAAGCGGGAGGCGGTAGCGGCGAGGGTAGCGGTGGAGGACTTGATTATGACAGCCCCCGGTTTTACAGATTCAAGTGGGACACACATCGGTTCATTTCAGCCTGGGCGCCAGAATCGTCTGCCCAGGCATGTAGAAAATGGACTCGATTGTGGGTACGTGCTGCACTATTTTGTGGGCTAGTATTATTATTTTATGGGCTAGTATTAATCCCGTTCGTTGAGTAGTATCGTTTGTAGTATTCTCTCTCAGGTTGCAAGGGGCGTTCCTGAGGAGGGTCTGAAGTTTGAGTAAGTGGAGGGACAGGTCTTGTCTGCATGGCCTTCCAATGACGAGGTTAGTTCGGGTTCTGCAATTGTTCAGCGAAACGAATGAAGTTGGTTCAATTGATATAGTCGAAGAGTTGTTCGCGAAACAGAGATAGATTTGAGTAATAGTGTTTTTTACATGTTTTTCTATCGTCGACTGGGCTGTAAGAGAGTGGAGTGTGTTTTTTTTGTCCTTCGGAGTACTTGTTATCCTTATCATCACCATCATGTATTATCGTAGTACGCGCAATTGAACAAAGAGCAGTCAGCCGATGATTGATTCTCTTGAACGCGGGCGGGTGATGTTCCAATGAATCCTCCTCAATTTAGCATTCTCAAAGAGTACTGTGCCTTTTACCACCGCGGCTAACATGAATGAATGTTCTGGTTCGTGGCAGTCTGGGCTGAGAATTGCATGGAAATCCCCCGCCAGGGAAGAATGAAAGCAAGCAGTTTTTATATTCTTAGTTCGAAACAAGAGTACTGAAGGAAGGGCCTGAAACATTGTTTTGCCCCGGACCACGGTTCGACACTTCGCTCGGTGAACGTTTGCAACCATCCGTACGAGGCGGCCGTGTGGTGGGTCGCCCAAGGTAGCGCGCACGTACGTACGTACTGGATGATGGAAGGCACCACCCCCCCCGTGAAACCTATAGTGGTACGGTTTCTAAGGATGACCAAGCTTTCAAAACAATGCAAGGTTTCACAACCATCCGTCGTTCCTTTCGCGATGAGTTCCCTCGTACGAAACCTATCGCTTGACATGACCCGAGTGGGGGGAACCTAATTTTTTGCTCCAGCTTTCGAAACATTTGAGAAGGTTCCTTGGTTGCATGGTGACCATTTCGCAACGGGCGGGGTGTTGTGTGCAACCCTTACGGCGGGATGTGTAAATGACTGTACAAGTGTGTACGTAGTTTTTTCGTCGATGTATACCTCGTGTTGGAATCATTCATCACACACACATCAGCAGCAAGCAAACAGACGTACGTGATAAAAGGTCGGATCTCGACGAACCTTTTTGAACACGCTACACGCAACCGGCCAAGCTGCGCAGCGCACCGAACGACGAGCGAAGGAACAGTCAGCCTTCGTCGAGGCACGGACGTACGAAACGTTGTTGGATGCTTGCAAGGAAATTGCTGGGGCAATTTCACTCGATTTTCAATTCGTGAAGCTGTCTGTTCGATCGAGTAGGCCGTCATCTCTCCGTGGACACGGGTCACGAGCCGAGCCCAGGTTTCACGTGCGCTGTTCCCGTTGTTCTGAACGTTTCGTACGAAACCCGGGTCACAAGAAAAAAATAAAAATAAAAATATCGCCTCGATTCAGATATTCCTAACTCCTCCAAAAGTTCCCAACTTTTCGCGACAGGATCACTGCTTTTCCAAGGAAGTTCAGGATACAAAGCAAGCATGCGTGCAAGTTTTTCGGTGTCCAACAACACGAAAAATCTAGGCCAACAAGAGGCAGGCATGGGTGTCTTGATCCCTGCTGACGCTCACCGTCACTATTACTGATGGTACTAATGGTTCTGTTCTCCACAAAATCTTCGCTGACCACCCAACAACATCACCGCGGCTTGACGTGCAAAGAATGTCAAGAGAAAGAAAATTTTCTATGTTGTATCCACCAAGAACAACCGGATTATCGGTATCCAAAATAAAATTGGTGCCGGCATGGCGTCCCGGTCCATCCCTGCTAAAACTCACCCGGCATTATCACTACTACCGTTCTCTCGCAGACGATCTGCGCCAGCCACCACATCACCACATCAAACCGAGGTTTCACGTCACGTCCAGAGAACAGGGCAACGACCACGGACAAATCCACGCCAAAGCCTTCTAAAAGCTACAAGATGACCGGATTACAGAGTAGTATTGACATTCTTACGGTAGTACACGTACTACATGGTCGTTACGGTGCCTGTACGACCATGACGCGAACGAGGCCGCCGACTGCTGTCCCTTAGTGGAACACGCAGCACTCCTCGGTGGTGCAGTCGTCGTTGGTGCAACGGGTCGTGCCGGCGTCCTCGATGGGGATGTAGTTGTCGGGGCACGCGTAGTAGCTGCAGTAGGCTTCGCAGCACTGGCCGACATCGCAGTCGCCGGAGCACTCCACCTCCCAGGCGTTGGGGATGGGGGTGTATCCGCCCGGGCAGCCGATCGAGTTGCAGTACACCACGCCTGCCGGGGGCTGGCCCTCTCCCGTGTTGCCTGTCAACACGCGATCCGCAGAATTGGTGAGGTCATCAGTGAGGATTGGTATTTAGTGGGCATGGAAGAAACTTCGACAGTAGTGAGGGGCGCGGGGTGCCCTTCCGTTCCGCTGACCAACCCTTTTAACAGTTAGAGTGATCCTGATAAGAGACACCGTCATGTCAACTCAAAAGGTCGTCCTTACAACGTGTTTGTTGAGGAGCTCTTGTGCCTACCGTTTACAGCCATCTATTTCGTTCCCAACAAAAAACAGGAATGCTTTTTCACTGCAATACAGCTGCAAATCCATTTTAGAGGTAACCACCGCAAACGACCTCCGGATGAACTGCTGTGCAACCTATAACTGCGAGGCGGGGTCGACAGCAATAGCAAACGCCACGAAGGAGGCCTCACCAGAAACGCAGCACTGCTCGCTGGTGCAGTCGTCGTTGTTGCAACGGGTCGTGCCGGCGTCCTCGATGGGGATGTAGCTGTCGGGGCACGCGTAGTAGCTGCAGTAGGCCTCGCAGCACTGGGAGACCTCGCACGAGTCGCCAGAGCACTCCACCTCCCACGCGTTGGGGATGGGGGTGTATCCGCCCGGGCAGCCGATCGAGTTGCAGTACAGCACGCCTCCAGGGGGCGGCGGCGGCGGTCCCTGCCCGTCTCCTCCCGGGGGCGGCCCCTGCCCCCCTCCGGTGTTACCTATACAGAACGAAATATCCAGGTCGGGCATTGACGATTGTTGGAGTGCTTCAACACCTTGGTTGTTCAGCCGCCACTCAAGGAGAACCCCGGCGGGGCGAGGGGGCGCGTACCCATTTGTTCCACTGACCATTCCTGTCAACAAGTAGTCTCGTCGTACGTCTTGCTCCAGATAGAGACAGACGTCACCATACCAACTCGGGCCTTGGGGGAGTTTTATCTATACCGCGGTCTCCGTATACGTGCCGCAAACCGGACGAACTGTGCAACAAGTACAGTACTGCAGTGAGGCAGAGGTGACTGGAGAAAGGGAGGCCACAACCTGAGAGTAAACGCCGCGACTCATGCCTCACCAGAAACGCAACACTGCTCGGTGGTGCAGTTGTCGTTGTTGCAACGGATCGTGCCGGCGTCCTCGATGGGGATGAAGTTGTCCGGGCACGCGTGGTAGCTGCAGAAGGCTTCGCAGCACGTAGCGACATCGCACGAGTCGCCGCACTCAACCTCCCAGGCGTAGGGGATGGGGGTGTATCCACCCGGGCAGCCGATCGAGTTGCAGAGCCCTTCCTGTAGTGCGGGAGATAAGGTTGTGGGGTGGGGTGGGGGGAGAGCGGTGGGAGGGGATGGGTGTGAGAACAAGCGTTAATCCGGGAAATCGACTTGAGCACGCCCCACTACACTAGACTGAACCTGACTAAACAGGAAAAACTACTATTTATCAGGAAAAGCTACTATCAGCGCCGCTTTCCTCCGTTACCCGAAGTCGGCCTCACAAGCATCGCTTTGCTTGAGGAATTCACGTGGACCCTCCCGCAAAAAAAGACCGGCATGTACGTTATTCGTCGTTCAGGGCGGAGGGGCGGTGAACTCCAACATTGATTGTCCTCACAACTGGCATGAGTTTGGACCGTTTCACGACAGCAACGACGTCGCAAGCGCAGATTGCAAACCAGACGATACGGCCGCAAAGAACAAAATCATTTCTCCGCATCCGACGAGCCTCCTAACCAAAGGTTGACAAGAAACAGCAGTTGGGGATGTACCCTATCATGGAGGAACTCCCCTCTCTCCACTCCGTACCTGAAGGCGCCGGCCGTCGGCTGCCGCAGCACCTTCATCAAGCCATCAAATGAGCGACGGGGAAGAGGGCGACGATATACAAACAGATGTGCGTTGTTGTTGGATAACACATAAATAAATGTGAGTGAGTGGACAGTCAGAAACGGACGTGAGGCTCGCACTATTCACGGCGGGCAACACCAACACTTAGGGGACGGTTAGGCTACAGCTTACCAAAAGATAACGTGCCCACACCAAGAAAAAAACACATCATCAGCGACTGTACGCACTGTAAAGACACATCCATCCATTGTTCTTGGCACACTTTTTTCCCAACAGATATTTTCCTTATTAAATTATTTATCGAGGAAGATTGCCGACTGTCGGACAAATTGAAAGTGGCAAAAGAGGTGGTCTGGCCGTCAAGGACTTCTTCAATAAAGGGCACGAGAATGCTTGCAGGATTGCAGGGGAGCATGATCAATCAACAGGGGATGCAAGCTGGTCGACAGGCGGAATTTGAAAAATAATCCCCCCCGGATCATCCGCTGATGGCACGGCCCAGGCATGCGATGAACTCATGGCTGGCTGTCCTCATCGTTTAATGAATATCCTCTGCGTTTATTTTCGGCTAGTTTCCATGCGCAGATGGACAGAGCACGTGCCAAATGATCTTAATAACTGAAAAAGGCGCATGGCTCTGCGGTGTACATTTGACACATTGGTAGCTTGTTGTTTGGATCCAAGCGCCAAAACACCCTGCTTCTACGGTCTCGGATCTCGCTGGAACGGAAGACAGAAAACATCAACATTGCATGTGCTACCCCCCCCCGATTCACAAAACAACATTCGGTCAAAAGCCTCAACGTTGTTGGATCCAGCATACACTGCAATCGGCGCCTCTCATGCGCGTGGCACGCTCGCTCGCGAAAGCGCCTCGGTGCGTCGGAATGCGTGAATATTTGAGCTGGATCCAAGCGCCAGAAAACTGCTGTTGTTGCGTTTGCCCGCCCGATACAAATATCTAAACAAAAGCCTCACCGTTGCTGGAGCGGAGAGAGGCGCCTGCCGCGGACTGCAGAGCCACCAGGCCAGTGACGAACGTGAGCGAAAGGCGCGGCATCCTGTGTTGCTGCAATGCATCCATGCGCAAGCAAAGCAAAGAGGAGGGAAAAAATCAGTAGGCCAAAATGAGACCACCACGACGACGATGCATCAGACAAACAAAGAAGGAAGGGAAGGAAACATGGAAACATGAGGGAGGATGGATTCAGGAGTCTCGTTCTTGTTAGAGCATTGCCCCCGCAGCAGCGTACACAGTCAGGAGAACCACCACTCACTGCTGCGCCTGTGAGCCGTGCATTCTGAAGGCTGAAAGTTCGGCTGCCCATGAGATATTTTGTATACCCACAACCAAAATCGTCCTCTCATTCATCCGATCGATGTGTTCTCTGAGATGCTTTTTTCTATGCGCAGGAGCAGCTAGCTATGCACGACATGCATGGAGAGGGCACAATCCCATATGCATGCATGTGGGAGTGATGTGCATCACAGCCTGAACACGGTAGGAGGGTAGGGGGAGTACTGCACCTGCTGCTTGGAGAAGTAGATGTTGGATATGGGAGAAGGAGGGAGGTGGTTGGTTGTGTGGTGGTGGGGGGGGGCTGTGGGGGGTGTGGGGGTTGTTGTTTTTGGAGAGGTGGGGAAGATCACCCTTTTCATTATTTGCCGAGCTGGCCGTCGGAACTACTTTTTTTGCTTGATGATGATAGCGTGAGAAAATGTTCACAAACCTACGTACAAGAAAATGTTGATGTTCACAAACCTACGTACAAGAACCTTCCTCGGCATCCAACGGGTGTTTTGGGGCGGGCGTGAGCTGTCGTGCGAGTTTTTCGGCTTGACGATGAGTTATTCGAGAGCAAGCGAACAGCGTATGTATGCATAAATAATCACACACACACTCACTGTAATTCCCCCTCTTTACTGCTTTTTTTGTCGATTGCGTGGCGATATCATGTGGTCTATCTAGGTTCTTCTCTCTCGCTTGGTTGCTGATGCTGCACACCACTTTGGCAGTCAACGGCTGCTGATCACGATTTCACAAGATCGCAATAGCCCGCAAAGTTCACCCGCGCATACATTGGCGTACATGTCATGAATATTCTGTCAAGAACGAACTTCGAACAAAAAGAGCCGTTCGTTGACGGTTTGACCGTTTGTTTGTTTGTGCGCAAGGTGGTGTTTTTAGTTTTTTTTTTTGTTCTTCACTTCAAATCAGCGCTTACAGCACTGGTGCCGTTTATTCCAACCCTCACACAGAAGAGCCGCTCTCTACCCTCCCCTCCTGCGGTACTTCGCCTTTAATTTTTAATGCGAGAAGAGTTCGGCACTCTCTTCCCTCTGTGTACACACGAACTAGCGCTATCCACTTGGCCAGGAGCGGAAGCGAGAGAAAAACTCCCTTTGTTTGCAAGAAAAGCTCGCCTACGCCGGGATTCGAACCCCTGACCTGACCTCTAGAAGGTTACGAGGCTACCAACTAGACCACCGGCGCGACCGGCATTGCACAAGAAGAGATCCTTCCCGTCTGTTTCCTGTCGGCAGGTTCCTTGCCCACCCCACTCACTCACTGCTGCTCTAGGCTTCAACACATAATAATCCCTTATTCGACTGAGGGACTGTGTTCTCGAACCGGGTAGCAGCAAGTCTTTCGGTGATCAATTCATGTGTGTCTTTTTCTGAGGTTGTTTGTCATGTGCCCGCCGCCGTCTCCGCTGCGCCGCTTTCCCCTCCGCTGCCGCTCTCCGAAACCCCCCCCCCACCTTCAGACGGAGAGAGAGGGGGTAACATATCTTTACATTGTTGCACATGATGAGGAATGATGTCTACAAAGGCATGCCAACCTAGTAGTTTGACAGCAGTAGTCAGTCGCAGTCATCGCGGTTGTGATGCTGCAGCTCGAGGTGACAAAGAAAATAAGCGCGGTGATCTCCAAAAACGAAACTGCACCGGGCATGTATAATAATAACTGCTGCTCAAACGGTTTTGAAAAAAAAAAATCCGGTGCACATCTAAATTTATAACGACACGAAATTACACAAAACGGTAAGAAAATGGTGAGACACTCCCGTGTGTGTGTCCGCACGTACTCCGAAATGTGTCTGCACAAATGCATACATACCCGATACATACATACGCACGGCGCGTACTACACTGAAAACACGTTTGAAAATTGAGGGAGTTTGCATGCCCTACGACTAAAAGGGTGCCACACAAAACGCCAGACTACCCAACAGTACCAAAAAGGCTGACTCTCCCGAAAGTTGGCCCGACGGATTTTTTTGGACGGGCATACCCCCACCCCCCTGATTTGCCACGGATTCGACCAAGAGACAGACCTCTCACCACATCACCACAGAGTTCTCCCTCCATCATGGTCAGATCGTCACCAGAACTCGAAGGCTGTACGCACCACACCTACCTGTAGGCACCTTTGAAGCTAGTGGTGACTGCTGTGGGGTCTGTGTGTGCTGAGAAATGCCAATCCATGTGAGCAAAATTAGAATCCGTATGGAGAATCCGTAGGAGATTGCATACGATAGTTTGTGCTGAAGTAA